GATGGTCACAATCATGTCGTCGTTGGTCATCATTACCTGTTAGCGTATGATCGAACGATTGTTTGCATGCCATTTTACATGTAGGACATGGCACAGAGCATCTTAGTTTGACGGCATCATTCCAAGGGGGGGAAAGCGGAATGGCCCATTCCGTCCCATTCCATACCATTCCATACCATTCCAAACATTTCTGACCATTTTGGAATGGTATAAAATGGTCTGGAATGGGCCATTCCAGGCCATTCTGTACCATTCTATACCATTCCAAAACGCTTTTTCCCCCTTGCATCATTCTGTTGATTATTAATCATCTCGTCCCGTGCTGTCGTTACAATCGATTGTATTTCATTTCAGTTAATGTGATGTCATTCTCCGCTGGTGTTAGATTGGCAATTAAATCGACTTCCATTTTCTTCCACATTTCAGCCGGCTCATCGTCGCATCTACATAATTTTCACTGTTGAATGTTTGAACAGCATCAGCAAATATCACCGATAATTTATAACCATTTAAATTTTTCTTCAACTCTTCTAAAAAGAATTTGATGCGTCCTTGTGAAATTTTCGATTGATCTCTTTCATTTGCACTACATATTGGATTTCTGTATGACTGTGTTTTGATCACTGTCATATCAAATGCTGATACAAGTACACAATTGTTAGGACTTTGATTCATCGATGGCTGTTGTGACTGATCTGAATTTCGCGACCGCAAAGGCAAACCCGCGACTATAGAAGCATATGATTCAGCTAATGGAGCGAAAGAAGGAGGAGAAACAAATTTGGGAAATTTGTTGAAGAGATTTAATCCGAGTGGATGTGTGAATAAACTGATTTTCAGATAAACTGGCTTTTCTGAGGTTGTGATTAAGTGAAAAATGAAACAAACACCGCCACGATGATCAGTGTAGACGATTACCCTGGTTCGACCTTAAGGTCAAATGATTTCACTAAGTATTTTATACCATTATTACGGTTTAGAGCCAACAAGCGAATAAAAATAAATTTTTGTACAGCAGCAGTCATTTATTTAATTTAATAATTTAAATTTATCTTGACGTTCTGTACAAAAATTTATTTTTATTTTATACCAAATTGAAGCCCGTAAAAAGCTGCATCGATGAGTGCAATTAGACCAAATATTGCCTATTACATTATTAAAAGATCTTACACTATATATCAAAATGTCATAGATCCTATAATGTCGAACATATGAAAAAACGATCATACCCATTTCTCCACATATACCTTACTTCTTGATGCATTGTAGCTTATATCACTTTGAAATGTTTTTAATGTGTATTCTTTTAGAGTAGAGTATTATCTACTCTAAGTAGCTCTCGTTCTGTTCGACTGTTACAAAACACGTACACGAACTGGATAATGTGTTTATTCTTAATTGAAAAAGATTCACTACTCATGATTAACAATGAAGAAAAGAAACAGAGAGAAGGAAGAGAAGGAGATGATGCGTGATATGTGCACGTACTGATAAGAGAAGAATGGAGAAAACAGAGAATGAATAACCAGCGGCACTGTTTCAAGTTTTTTCATTTTTTTCCTTTTCTAAGCGTCTGTTGTTCGTGAAGATAACTTTTTCCATTACGTTAGAAATTGAATTAAATTACGGCAAGCCTGTGATATCTGAATTTAGGGACCGAATCAAAATGGCTACTGTTCTTCATGACACAGAAGAACAACGATTTGTGGATAGAATTCGTTGTATCGCATACCGTGAGATACGCGATGAGATGATTGCAAGAACAGGAGACTCATTTATCAGTCGCCAATGGATTTCCGAAAAGATCCATCGTAGCGAAGATTGGGTGCGACGAACTTGGAATAAAACAGTCGAGGAATGCTATACACAATTTGGAGGTGGTCGGCCTTAGGTGCTCTCTCAGGAGAGCAAAACTATTATCGCTTCTGCGAGTGGTATCAGGAGCAACAGCTCTCGAAAAGTCGCAAGAGAAATTTTGGAGAAAACAAGACAGCAGGTGAGTTATTCGACCGTTCATCGTGAACGCCATCGACAAGGATTAAAACCATTCCACGTGATTTCAAAGCCATTGAAGACAAATACACATATTGAAGATCGGAAATGGCTCGCAAATTTTGTTGCTGATTGGACCGAGGAGGATTTTCTACATATCGCGCCCTCGGATGAATGTTATATTTATGTGATAAGAAAACAAACCACCAAAATGACAGAATTTGGACAAAAAGTATCGAAGACATCAGCGATGATAAAAGGTACCGTGAAATGGTTCAGAATGCAAGGTGCATCGGAATTTTTGTCATGTTCACTGCAAAGAAACTTCTTTGGGTCCTGAAGGAAGATGGACAATCTTGGGATGGCGCCTATTTTCGTGATATTATTCTTCAGAAACGTGTGATTCCATTTCTTCACAACCCAATCAATGTTCTTGATACAAACGAAGTCATATTTCTTCACGATAAGGCACCCTGCATGAAAGCTAATGCAACACAGCATCTTCTGGAAGATGAGGGCGTGAATTTCTGGGGCAATTCGATTTGGTCTGGCAACAGTCCTGACATGAATCCTGCAGAAAACATTGGTGCAATTATCAAAGATAAAGTTGAAGAACTGATGACAAGCGAAGATCGTCGAGATAGATACAATTATGATGTTCTCAACACTAACCTCGAGAATACACTCAAGGATCTTGAAGATGACACAGATCTTTTTATTGATTTGCTGTGTTCCATGAGGAAAAGATTTGATGCTCTCGGAGCTGCCAGGGGAGGTCATACCAGGTTCTAAAATTTTGTCATAAAACTTACTTTTAAGCAATTTATATCTTCAATAAATTGGCCACTCTATAAGCTACAATTTAAGTCGGTGAGCGGTATGATAGTTCTTCCATATGTTCGACATTATAGGATCTATGACATTTTGATATATAGTGTAAGATCTTTTAATAATGTAGTAGGCAATATTTGGTCTAATTGCACTCATCGATGCAGTTTTTTACGGGCTTCAATTTGGTATAAAATACTTAGTGAAATTATTTGACCTTAAGGTCGAACCAGGGGGGCGTAAAGGTTTTGCAACACCCTGTATGATCCACATGTTTCTGAGATTTCTAAACGTGTTTGGAACGAGGCAGACGGATCCTCGGAAAACGTCTGTATCTCCGGAACCAAAGGAGATGGAGAACGTAGTTTTATAGAGAAATGTTTTGGCTATCGAATA